TCATAAGTTTCTTTCGACAACATTCTCTCAAAAATGTGTCTTTTTTATCTTAGATATTTTTTAGAGAGTGATATATTTCTCTCAACTTTTTTGTTTGCAAAGTAAGTTAAAAATAATAATAAATAACACTATTGTTTAGCATGAAATTAATGTTTGATTTCTAATAATTTGTATGGTATTAATAATAAAAAATATTCAAGGATATCTTTTACTAGAGAGAAATTTTTTTATCAGCAATTAATATATTTATTATTATATATGTAATTAATTTATATAAAAATAATGTCACACCATAATTGTAATCTCCACCAATGTTCTTTTATACATATATCTTTTATATATATATATATATAATCTGAAAAGAATTATCCTAATATCTCACTTAATATAATTAATTACTCTCAAATTTATTGACAACTGAATTTAAGAGAATGATGTTATTCCTTTAAGCTCATTTGTTAATGAATCTGAGAGTAATTAATTGTGTTGGATGGATTTTGTATGTAATTTTTTTATAATCTTTACTACTCTTTTACTATCATCTTTACATTACTATCTATCAGTTCATTAAATTCTTTTCATTATTCAATTTGAGAGAAATTCCTAAAAAATTGTCTTTTCTCTCAAATTTTGCTAGTTTTTTCTCAAAACTTTTTTTGAGAGAAATGTGTTTTTTTCTTGTTGTGTTTTACTTACTTAATTGGGCATAATCCTTTCCACAAGTCATAATAATCCAATTTGTTGCTTCATTACCTTTCTTGGTGTAAGAGTAATCACAAATCCCTTCTATTGTGCTAAAGAATTAAGAACATAAAACTCTCTCAACAATGCAATAGCTTTTTTCCAAAGCTAGAATAAGGAAAAAATAAGGGCAAGTATAGACTTGCTCATGGGTAAAATAAGGGCAAAAACATACTTTATAGAAGGGGAAGTTTGTTAAGTGCTTGGAATAGAGTTATATTGCACCCAAGTAATTACAGGTAAGATCTCTTATAAGAATCTAGAAATATAAACTATTCTTTTAACATTGATAGTATGTTGTTAGATTTTTCTGTCCAGTTAAATATGTATAACTTAAAAATATTACACTAATAAAAAATTTAAGATATCAATTGCTCCTTCAAAAAAACTTTTAAGACAAAATTGTTTTTGACTTCAGTCTTAAATTTGCAACTAATAACCAATATTGGTTCAACGTTATTATAGGGTAAAATTACATAATTTTTCAAAATTTTAAAATAATATTATATCAATTAAAAATTAAAAATATCAGTTGCACTTGATGAAAAAAAAATTTAGACTAAATTTGCGCTTTAAATCAACTAAATATTCCATATAACTTCTATTAATTTTTTTTCCCCATCTGACGTGTGACTGAGAGACAGACAAGGACAAGGCAATGTAATGTGTAGTTTCCAAGAAGCAAAACCATGTCAACGATCGTCGCGTTTGTTAAAATGAAGGACCACATGAAGTATGCCATATCATTAACTATGGTGTCATTTAATGTATCATTGGGACGGAGGGACATTGACTTCAACCCTACCCGTCCTTTAAATCAAGTGCTCGTTTGTGTATACTTTTTCTTCTTCCTTATTTTTGCGGTATTTTAATGTTGGTCAATATAAAATATTTGACAACAAATAATGATTTCGAGTGTCGGACTTCGGTGAGACTAGTGTCTCCCTAAAAGCGCTATATTGCCACGTGGTTGGTTTGGGTGATCATTATCACTGTGATAAGATTTTAATCTGAGTAATCTAAATTTAAACTATTATTATATATTTTATTTTATATTGATTAAAATAAAAATTTATAAAAAAATATGAAATAATTTTAATAAATTTTTTATTTTTAATATTATATGGATTTAAATTATTATTATATATTTGTATTTTATATTATTTGAAGAGTACAATTTAATATTAAAATTTTTATAATTAATATATATTAGCCATCCAAACATATTCTGCACAATTCAAATTTAATTTATGTATAAAATTAATTTTATAATTTTTATAAATATTTATTTTAAAAATATAATATATAATAATAGTTTAAATTTGTTTCATCACTGTGATGAGCACTCAAATTGGGTCCATATTGCTAGTGCCCTTGTATCTCGTCATCACACTTCTCCTTTTTCAACCTCAGTATCATCCTCACAAGCAATCAATCTGGATCTCATGAGGGGATATTTTGGAGAGCCTTTGTGTAATATCGATCCTCCCTATTCAAGAAGTCCCTTATGATCTGTTTTGGGCTTAAGAACATCTTAGAATTCAGCTTAGGAGCTTTGGGACGTGGCTTGTGCTGTGATGGATCTAAAAGCGACCAAACTTCGTGAATTATGACTTTGTGCCAGGGCCGTGCGTCCGGTGTTAGATGTAGGTTCAGAGGGTATACAATTATAGCCTATAATATAATCTACTTGATGTGATATTAATTAAGATTTAAATTTTAATTAGTATGTAAGACTTAGTTAAAAATACTCCTACTTTTTATTATAAAACACATCTAATTACTTCACTGAAATTAAAAAAAAAGTGCTTAACTCGTCAGTTTTATCTAAAAATAGAATAACCTTTTAATTTTACTTTTATTTAAATGAATAAATTTTAACATTGCATTACTCCATCAGCCTTTATATATGAAGTGTTTTTAATTAAATTTTATATATTAATAAAATTTTTTTATTTAATTAAAAACTCATAAAATCATAAAAACTTTTTCAGTTTTTCCCCCTAATAAAATGTTGCAATTCATTAGAGGTGAAAATCAAATGGCCTTAGCTCTTAAAGGCTCAGGTCCTAAAGTTCAGTTATTCAAAATTTAATCTAATTTTAAAGCCCAGCCCTTATTTATAAGGCTCAGGGCTAGACCCTTAAACCCTCTTTTCTGAAAAAATCCAACACTTTAATTTAAATAGAATATTTTAAAATTCAACATAAATTTCAACAAAGATTTAAAATTTTAAATTTAAGATGAAGATTTTTAATCTTCATTAATGTAAATCTAAATCCTCCTGATCATTATTTTAAAATAAAATACTATATCCCTCAAATGTAGGTCCACTTGTTGAAGATGAAGGTAGAAATTTAATGTCAATTATCTCTACAATTTTTTTTTATCACATACAATAAATATTAACCAAATTTTGTCATTGTCTGTCAAATATATGTATGTATGTATATACATATATATAAGATAACATGGCTTATTAGGGCTTGAAGGGGCACCCAGACCCGAGTCTTTTTTTACAGAACTTATCAGGATCAGGCCCTCAAGCCTGATTTCTTTAAGAAAAAATTAATTTTTAAAGCCTAAACTCTTATTTAAACAAGGCCTTTATGCCCTACCCTTTAGGCCAGACCTTTTATCCCCGGCTCCAAAATTAATATTATGATGGTGGGTAAAACACACAATTAATATCTTTTTCCAGTTTTTGTCCAATCACTCAAAATTATTATGACACTTTTTATATTTAGAGACAATACAAGCTTATATAAAATACCTTATATGTAGTGACGGGGTAGTATATTGTCTCTCATGATTAATACTTCCTTTGGATCATAACATACGTTATAGTTAAATAATTTATGATTTAATTCTTAAAAATATCCATATTTTTTCATTTATACCTTAATTAAATGCTCTATATAAGAGCCTTGATAATAATAATTAAAATTTTAATATATATTTTTTAAAAAAAGAATAATAACTAAAATAGGGGTATAGTTGAAAAAATAAATATAAAAGTTATCTAATATTTTGGACCAAATAAAGTTTTTAAAAGATGCATTATATTGTGGTTCAGAGAAAATAAGCCTAAATAAGGATAATATTATAAAAGTGTAATTAATACTCTATTAGGTGTCTTATATTAAAGATCAAATAATCCTTTTAAAATATGCACCATAGGGTTAGAAGGGAGTACTCCCTTCATTTTTATTTATAGGAGAAACTATCACTTTTGATTTTTTTATATAAGCAAAATTATATTTTTTAATAAAATTTATTACGAAGTTTTTAAATTACCTCTCATAATTTCATTATTCACAGTCATAAGAAACAATTAATGAAAACTTTATTAACATAATTAATAAAAGGTATTTTAATCTAATTTTTTTATTTTCAGATATAATTAATGTAGTTAATTAATTTTTTTAACTATATAATATAATTTTTTTCTCCTATAAATGAAAATAAGACAAGGAAAACCAAAATTAACAGCATCCTTATCACCTCGACCTGGCGCTACAATAATGGCAGGATATCACTCCGACAAAAACCATGCACCATTGAATGGCAATGGAGTTACTACTTGGCGCCTATATCAAAGCTCTTCTTAAGTTGGCTCCAGAAATTCATTAATGACACAACTAACACTTCTCATTTTCGATGAAGCAACCATCCCTAGGTCAACAGACAAACTGTTTGAATGCATATGTTCATAAAAATTATTTGCATTTTTTTGTCTTATTAATTGTTTATATAATTTTATAACTCTAATAATCATAAAAAAAATTTATATATAATTAGACAATATATAGGAAAAAAATTTCAATTTTTATTAGTCATAAAAATATAAAAGATGCTCTCTTCATCCCAAATTATGAGATAATTTGATATAAGATTATGTACACCAATAATAATTTAAAAATTGGACCGGACAAAATATGGGTGCCGCGTTGTAGTAGATAGTGAACAGAAAGAATCTCACAATATAATTAATTTTCTTTTAAATTTAAATAATTGGATGGATGAACTAAAAACTATTATTGTCATTATCACACAATAAAAGACTATATCTCTGTGCCTGTGCCTGTGCACTAAAAGCATGCCATAAATTTTGAAAGAAAACAAAGAAAGAAGTCAATGACTCAATGCAATTAGTTTTGACTTTTAGAAAATAGTAAAACAAGCCTATATATAGTGTAAGTGCATGGAAGGGGATGATTCATACACAACCAGTGAGATTCATTATACCAAACACCAAAATGGTATCGCTCTCGCTTGTTCCCATAATTCTAAGTTTCACTCTCTTGCCATTCTTCTTCTTCTTCTTCTTCTTCTTCCTTCCTCAACAAATAATAAAAATCATTCTCAAACCTAAGCTTCCGCCAGGTCCTAGAGGCCTTCCCGTAATAGGAAACCTCCATCAACTCAATAATTCTTCTCTTCATCTTCACTTCACAAACCTCTCAAGAAAGTATGGACCCTTATTCTCTCTTAAGCTTGGTCATAGAACTGTTCTTGTTGTCTCATCTCCTAAAATGGCCAAAGAAACTCTTAAAGATCGTGACGTTTTGTTCTCTGATAGGCCCTATTTTCTTAGCCAACAGAAACTATCCTACAATGGGATAGAGATAATTTTCTCTCCTCATGGAGATTATTGGAAAGAAATTAGAAAGATTTGTGTCATTCACATTTTTAGTGCTAAGCGTGTCTCTAGCTTTTCATATATAAGAGAGGATGAGGTTCATCGGATGATTCGAAAGATCTCAGGATATGCAGATTCATGCAAAGTTATAAACTTGGATGAGGTTTTGATATCTCTTGCAAGTACCACAATTTGTAGGGTTGCTTTTGGAAGAAGCTATGAGGAAGAAGGAGTTGAAAATAGCAGGTTGGTTGGTATTTTCCTTTTGATTAAGCCTAATTATTAAAATATTAGTTAAATTTTTAAGCATTGATTCTTATATTTTGACCAATTTTAATATTTTCTTTTTACAAATAAATTTAATTAATATGTCATAAGTCTTAGGAGATTGGCTGGAGATATTTATCGTCAAGCCAAACAAGCCAAACCATATATATAATTAATATGTCATACTTTTTTAATTTTATTTATAAGTTACTTTTAATATATTTTATTAAAATTAAGAAAAATCTTAAAAGTTATTAATTTTGTTTAAAAATTTAACAAGTTTTCAACTTTACTCATATTAAATATATATGTGTTAATAACATATTTTTTTTCAAAGATAAAGGAAAAATTTGTAATAACAAAAGTCAACGATGGGACTTATAAATATAATAAAAAATTATTTTCTCTAGTAAATAGGAGAGGAGGAAGTAACTCTTTCCTTATATATCAATTTAAATTAAACAAATGAACTTACAAATCTCATATGACTTTTCATGTTCTCAAGAGGAAAACGAGACCAATTAGTGATGAAAAGGAAAGACATAACAACAAATAATCAGACAAAAAGATTATTATTAATTATTTTGCTTATACAATGTCCAACTTGTCATAATTGTACCAATACATTAACAAAGTTAACAAACTTATGTAAATATTATTAGATTTAACCATGTTGGTGATAATAAGGACTAAAATTGTAAACAGATTTAAACTTAAAGACTTAAAGCAATGAAAAATAAATAAATACTAGTATCAAAACACACTAAAGGTATTGAAACCAACAGTTATATTTCCTCTGAAATAAAATCTTTGAGGTTACAAGGTTAAAGGATCGAACTTAGCTTGAGACGAATGGGGAAAAAAAGAAAAGAAATTAGGTATAGGCTAAAAGCACTTGCAAGCATTCTATTATATTAATTGATCTTTAATGAGCTTAACCATTATAGAGGACAGATTTCGTTGTACTGTGTTAATCGTATTGAAGGTTCTATGGGATGATGACGGAGTTCCAGGAGTTGATGGGGACGTTCTTCATGTCAGATTACATTCATTTCACTGGGTGGATCGACTCCCTCAAAGGATTAACCGGTCGTCTTGAGAGGAATTTCAAAGACTTGGATGCATTTTACCAACAAGTGATTGATGAACACCTTGATCCTCAAAGGCCTAAACCACAAGAAGAAGATATTGTAGATGTCTTCCTTCGCCTCAAGAATCAGCCATGGTTTTCCATAAATCTCACTTTTGATCACCTCAAAGCTTTACTCATGGTATATATATATAATTCTTCATATCTCATTTCTCTCTCTCTCTCTCTCTCTCTCTCTGTTTTTTTTTTTTTTAAATGCATCATATAGATCCTCATTGCATCTCTCAGTAATTTGGTGACGTGATCAAAAGCTTAGCAAAATCGTAATAGTTTTACCCAAAAACAATCGCAATGTGTGTTCTTTTTCTTCTTAATCGTTGACCCCAATCCCATTAGTGGAATATCTCCCCACATATTTTTTTCAGACTTCCATAAAATCGAGTAATAATGTCAGATGTATGGACAATAGCTAATAAATTTCATTTTTTTTTAGAAAAATGTTTTAGAACATTATATAGATACACACGCTCACAAAAAATATTTTCTTAGCACCCAACTTACTTAAACTTCTTTTTCAAAAAAAAAAAGAGGAAGGTGAGTTCTAATTAAAGAATCAAACAGTTGGGCAAAAAAAAAAAAAAAAAAGAAGCAATTCTGATAGCTAGGGCTATCTAACCAAGGTTGGGATTTTTATTGGCCATTGGCCGAGCTCCCAGCTGAAGAACGTGAATTAGTCTATTGATTTCTTTTATAAAATAAAATCAAAGTGGATTTTAAATAAAGAAAGATACTTTCAACTTATCTTTTTTTCATTTTTCATGTTTTATACTAAGACAAATATGTGTGAGCGTGCGTGCAGGACTTTCTTGCAGGAGGGACAGATACAGTGGCAGCAATATCAGTTTGGGCTATGAGCCAACTAATGAAGAATCCAAGAGTAATGCAGAAAGTTCAAGAAGAGGTTAGAAATCTGTATGGCCATGATCATCAGAAAGGTTTCATACAAGAAAGTGACGTTAAAAAGCTCACTTTTCTAAAAGCTGTTGTGAAAGAAACACTAAGATTACACCCACCAGCACCATTACTTGCACCAAGAGAAACAACTAAAAGTTGCATCATACAAGGGTTTGAAATCCCAGCCAAGACAACAGTATATGTGAATGCATGGGCTATTCACAGAGATCCTGAGGCTTGGGATGACCCAGAAGTGTTCTATCCTGAGAGATTCTTGAACAATGCCATTGATTTTAAGGGACAAGATATGGAATTAATTCCATTTGGAGCAGGTAGAAGAATGTGCCCAGGTTTAATGATGGGAATTGCCACGGTGGAGCTTGTACTTGCTAATCTAGTTTCTTCATTTGACTGGGAAATGCCAGCAGGAACTAAAAGAGAAGATATAGATTTTGAGGTAGTAACTGGACTTGTCACTCACAAGAAAAATCATCTTTGGCTTGTTGCCAAGAACCCTATCTGCAAAGCTTTAAAAGCTAGTTGTGTATGAATAAAAATATCCTTTAGTACTTTTTGCTTAATTTTATTTTTCTTAACCATTATTTATGAGTAAAGTAATTTAAAACGTTTCATACGAGAAAATTATGTTTTGATTAATAAGGATAAAATGGAGTTTATTTAGCTAACATCAATAATTTCAGACAAAATGGTATTTGATTATTATACGCCAAAAAAGAAAGAGAAAAAGAAATGGAGAAAATAATTGAAAATGGTGTTTGTTCCTAATATCTACTTTTCCAAAATGCTTCTTCTGTTCGTCATTGGCTAAGAATCACTACACATTTGCTGGGACCTTTTATTGGTAATCTCTTGGTTGGTTTAGGTCCAATGGAGTCATAGATATTTGCAAGCAGCTACCCAAAGCTCTTCAAAGGTTTCTGTTGAATTCTTGCGATATCTTTGTTGGTTTTTTGGAATCATATGAATAGGGAAAAAATGGAAATGTCCATACACAAATTACAAATGCTAAGAAACCTTTTAAGCTTTAAAAGCATGCGAAAAGTTATGATCAATATTTCTCTAGAATTTCATTTGAAAACCTTTTTGAAAAATGTCTTGGGATTATATGATTCAAGCAAAGAAAAGAGATCAATGCCAGCAATTGGAATAATGAACTTCTTGAAAAGGATCAAATGCTTCTAAATATAATGATCACAAAATAAGAACGGGAGCTATATACCTGATGCTAGTTTAATGGAGGAGAGGGGTAGCGTAGCTCTTGGAGACATCAAATATATAGCACACACAAGAGGTATATATGTGTAATGAGTGCATTCTTTTTCATCAAATTAATCTTCATAAATACACTAATTAGAGGTTTTTATGCTTGTTCCCGTCCTAACTGACCTAAGTCCATCTTGATCATGGATGGTTGGGACTATCTTGGCCCAAAAGAAAACAAGATGGTACTTTGAAAGATGGGATAAAAAACAGGTTCAGGCAAAAGCACCTTAGAGAAACCCTATTTTATCCTAAATAAAATATACATATTATTATTCTTCTTTTATTAATATGTAATAATTTAGTTATTCAATGTACATATTTTTTGTTAATAACATACCTATTTTTTTATTGGAAAAATTAGTATTTTAATCCTTTAATTTTTAACTCACTTGTAACTCAGTTCTTCAACTATAACTCGTTGAGATTCAGTACCTCAACTATAACTCATTACAATCTAATCTCTTAACTTTTAACTGTTATAATTCAGTATTTATTTTTTAATTTTTTTTAAAATTATCCTTATTAAATAAGATGGATAAAAAAAATTCTTGTATTTTAAATTATCATATTTTAAAACTTCCTTCACACTGACAATGGGGTCCTTTTTTATGATTCTCACAGTCACACAATTTAGAGGCCCTAGCAGAAAAGGATAGGAATCTTCTCGTAGTCATTCCTCCTGATATGCCGCCACATGATGCTTATTACTTTCTCTGTAAATTAACAAGTGAATCGTGATGGACATGAAGCAAATAGAGAGATCCAAAAAGATATATGTAGAAGGATAGCAAGAAAAGAGTGAAATTTCAGCTTCCATGGTATTTTTGATGGGGTTTCAGTGTTCTCTGGTTATTCCAACTTGCTCCTTCAGCTTTCAATTGCTTTGATTGGTTTCTTGAAAGGAAACAGAGGGCTCTGAGGTTGACTTCTCTATGACCCTCCCACTTCGATTCAGATTCACCATGTCACACTGTTTTTTGTTTTTTTGGATCCAAGTCACACTGTTACCTAGAGAGAATACAGAAATAAAATCATATTAAATTTAAGGTCTTTTTTATTTTTGTTCTCATTTTTTGTTTTTAAAAACTGTTTTGTAACACAGTTTTTAAACTTGTTTTTAAAACAAAATGAAATGAAAATTTATTTAGTTATGTCAATTTAAAAAAGTTTTAAATTTAAAAAAATGGACAAATAATGATGGTTATAGGTATTTAATGGCTGTAATTAATAATAAAAATTATTAAAATAACTATAATTTTCAATAATTAAATGTATTGTATTTTAAAAATAAGAAAAATAAAATGAAAATTTAAAAACAAAAAATTAAAATAACTTTAGAAATAACTAAATGAAAACACTTATCCCAATAAAATTTTAAACTTTTCTGTTTTCAAAAACAAAAAATAATTTTTAAAAACAGAAAACAAACAAATCCTTATACTATTCAGTTTTGATCTAGACAATTCATACTGAACCAAAAGTGGTTTCCAGTCTCAAGATTGGAATTAAATCTATTTTGTTGACTGGGGAATGAGATTAGAGATCCCATGTTTCAAGATTGAACCGATAAAATGGAGTACATATTTCAAGTAAGTCAATGCATGTATTGACTGGATACCTCAAGAAGCCCATTGGATTAATAATGATGTTACAAATTTTTTTTTTTGCAAAAAAAATCTTATTAAGGATTTAATTTATAATTTATAAAATTATAGGATCAAATTTTACTGTCGGTATAAAGACTTTATTAAGAAAGATTTATAAATGCCTCTCTAATTATTTTTAGAGCATGAAGACATATTTTAATTTTGATGAGCCTCTGGACCAAAAATTATCTTACTGTTAGTTTTAGCCAGCCACTTATTGGTGTTGGGAGTTTTTGAATGTTGACATGGGGAGATTTTAGGGCTCAATCATTCCGGGATCAGATCTCCATTATCCAAATTTAGTACGGACATTTAGAATTTTTAAAATAATATATTTATTTTTCAAATGATAATTTTCTATAACTACTAAAATAAAAAGAATGAATCATCTAATGTATTAAACTAGGTGATGGGCGGTGCGCGAGTAGAAGCCAAAAATTCAAATCCCTCTAACATATAGAAAAAGATAAAAATTAGGAAAAATAAACACTCTTAGCCCAACAATTTTATCTTTATTATTAATTCAAAACAACTCATTTCTTATAGTTATTAAGTGAAAAAAATTAATTATAAGAATTGAGTTGTTTCAAGTTAAGAAACTATATAACAGTAGATAAAAAAATTTGGTCAATTACAAACTAGGTTCTTTTTTTTTTTTGGGTGAATTAGAAACTAGGTTATCATGAGTCAAGAAACTAAAGAAAAACAAGTTATTTGGAATCTAAATGCAAGGCTTAAATCAATAATTAAAATAAAGGTTTAAAAATTAAAAGTTAAATTTTTCTTAAAGTTATTAAGAATATAAAAATTAAATTTTGATCAAAATTATCCAAAAGGTATTTATCCAAAATAAAGTGCAGAAGGTAGGATATACCAAATGAATTTAATCAATGCAAAACATAGTTTGTATTCAAGTGACGCTTGCGTATACGGCTGAAGATACATTATTCATGCTTTATTGATATTTGGCATACGAAAGACATGGCATTATAGTCTAGTGGCATGAAACTCTACTCTAAATAAAAGTTGTAAATTAAATCCCGCTTTGTAATTTCAAGTTGTTAGTACATGCCCCTCTTATAAAAAGCCCTTTATCTATTGCTTCTAGGCATCCTCAATATCAATAATCCAAATTTAAGGATTTCAAGCACTCACGGCATCCAGGATACTAAAATGGAAATTTTCACCTACCAGAAATCCAAAACGCTTCATATAATAGTATGTCCACTATAATGCTAAATTATTGACATACTTCAACAACAATAATAATGTTAGACGACAAACAACACATAGCATGGGGGGAAAAAAGAAAATGAAACCACCAGATGTTATTCAAATGGGGTAAGTGTGTCATTGTGTTTTAAGAAGTTTCTAAACTCAGACTATTTGTCATAGAGGTACGCCCTTATAGGAAATTGTAATCTGTACACTATAATGTTGAGAGTAAAATAAAAAACATGACAAACCAAGACCAACATGCTAACGAAAAATACTTATTTGGAAAATATCACTTATCAATGTATTACAAAAAGAGCTACTTAACAAGAGAATTGTGGAGACATGAGGGGGAAAAATCCTCTGAACATTTGGGAATGTGACCTGTCACAACAGGAAGATTGACATAAACCGGTCAAGAAAATGGTAATCTCATAATTAATGAATCAAATCTTTGTAAATTACATGCTGCAACTATTCCAGCACCCCATGGCATCCACGACAAGAAGCCATTAGAGACCAGAAAGAGCACATGTCCACTATAACTGAACTATCTCAAACCTGGTCTTCTTCCACGACCAGCTCCACTAAGAGCCATTTCAAGTGGCCCTGATGGAGTAAATCCCTGTGCCTCCATTATATCTCGTATCCTTCGCGCATCCTGCACAAATCCACCAGTAAGAAGACTCCGTATAATTCTCTCAAACTCATGTGGTCTTAATTCATCCTTTCTAGCCTCAAGAACTCCCAAAGCTTGAAGGGCCTTTTTCTCATTTCCTGCCTTTGCATACATATCACAAAGACTCACTTGAATTTTTAAAGAAGGAGCCTCACCCTGCTGAGCAATTTCCCCCAAAAGTTGTTCAGCCTCATCAACAAGCTGCAACTTCGCAAACCAGTCCACAAGAACAGTGTAAGTGGCAATCCCAGGCTCAAACCCATCCTTCTCTAGCTTCAAAAGAAGATTTAATGCCTTGTCCAATAAATTTTTCCTCTCATAAGCTGCAATCATGCTAGCGGTGACCCTGTCATCAGGCTTATATCCAAGTTTTATCATGTAGTCAAAGTTTTTTCTAGCCACATCAGGGTTGTCTGCACGCTCATATGCCTCAACAAGCAATGTACAGGTCTCCATCGAGTGCCGAAATCCTGAAAACTGCATAGCTCCTGAAATCCGTTCAGCTCCATTAACATCCCCAAGATGAGCAAAAGACCGGAGCAATGCAATGTATATTTCATAGGAGGGTTTCATTTCTCCCGACTCCAGCTCCCTCAATAGAACTTCGGCCATCCTAGGTTGGCCAGCATTTACATATGACATGATAATTGCAGTATAGATTTTCAAGTCTGGCTGGACACCCTGGCTTCTCAAGCTATCAAATGCTTCTTTTGCACGATCAAAATTACCTGCCTTGGCATACATGTGAATCAATGAACTGGCTATTATAGCATCTGGCTGGTAACCATTTTCATTCATCTTCTTGAGGATCCTCTCAGCATCATCATACTTGTTATCTTCAGCATAAATACTAATAAGCTTAGAATAGTCTCGGATATTTGTTTGGAAAGACCTTTCTGTCAATGCAATTTCTGCTACCTGTAAGTACAAAATTTGACAAATAATTAAATCCAAAGACCAGAATAGCCTCATTTTCATCCCTGGTTCAATTTGTTCACTTTAAAATTATATCCAAGTAATACATAAAGATTTTAAAATCTCATAAGCTACATATACAAATATGTTCATAGTTTCATCTGCATAAGCAAAATACATCATTCACATGAGCATAAAAACCTAAGAAATTTGTGGGACATGCATCACAATTTTTAATTAATTGATAATCCACCCAAAAGTACAGCTGCTCGAATCAATTTCCAAGAAAATTAATTCCTTGTGGTTAGGGATTGATTAATGAAAATTCTTAGCACCTCAAACAGCATAAAATTACATGTCAAACATGAATGTAGCTATCTTAGACATTCTAAAGCTAGCCTTGTTAACCAGAAATAGAAGGAATAAACAAAACATATCACCCACCAAAAAAATAGCAAAGGTGTTACCCCACCTAGTGAGATAAGGCTTCTTGTTATTATTGTTGTTGCTTTTAAGCTGTTAGATGGGAAGCAGGATGAAGAAGAAAAGATCTACCACAGTACCACTATTACCAGCCCGGAAATCAGAGAACTAATCTACAAATACCGATACCAACTATAAGATTCCACTGGAAAGACCCTACTTTTGGGAAGACCAACACAAAGAAAACATGATTTGTGCTGGTTATACTCAAGTTCAAACATGTCTTCCATGAAAGACTAAATAGGAAATAGAATATAAAACCAGTACCAAAGTAATTAATTTAAGAGAATGAAGAAAATCTTTATAATCTGCAATGTAACACCCAAATCCAGTCAACCAAGAACTTGTGGAAGACTGCACTAGCACAAAGAATCAGAAACAACCCTCTATACCTGATGACTGATTCCTCTGGCATCTTCCTCATACTTTTATATCATTGCTAGTTCAAATTTCTCCATGCTAATGGAAATGAACAATTTGAAGCGTGTAATTTGTGAATATGTAGTCTACACTGTGTTGAAAATACAGCAGAAAATTTGCGAAGTGGTGTACTTAGAATTGAAATTTGGCCTTTTCAAACAATCAGCAAAAGTCTCAGAATAGATTTACAATACAATCTATTTACCTTGCAAAGTTCCGTAATCCAAAACTATAGAGAAGGTTTGGGTTGTAGTAAAATAATCAGGCTAAACAGTTAATGAAGAACAAACTATTCACATACCTTCAAGTACAAAGGAAAATTCTGATCTTTCATTTTGTCAAGTAAATTAATCCAATCTATCCTGTTAGGTTGATGAATCTCTACCCACTCAGCTATCAGCGAAGATGGATCATCCACATCGTTTAATGACAGAATTTTCTCAGTGACAAGTTTGGCTTTCCCAGACACAAGTTTTGGCTCAGGCGGCCAAATGAATTCCTCTGCTCATGAATTCTGTCAGCCACTTCTGCCCACTTAGGATCAGAGAGATTAAGCCCATATATCTTGTAGTTTATCTTTCCTCGTCTCTTGGGGAGAGTAACTGTCTTAGATTTCTCCTCGACAGCATCAACCTTCTCACTCTCTGTTTTCACTTCTTCCTCAGCTTGTGCATCGTTTCTCAGGCGCTCCAAACTCTCATAAAAATCATGTTCCTCCATTTTCTCACGTGCCCACTTGAATCTAAGCTCTCTAAGCAAATTACCACGAACACCAATTTCACCAGCAAACCTGCACATCTCCTTCACTTCTTCAGATTGCAAAAAACCCTTCATCCTTTCCTTCTTCCGTTCCTTATTCATATCATCCAATACCATATTGCTCACTTCCCAGACTGTTCTCCACAAGTCCTCACTAAAATCTTGTGAAGAAGAGACCGCCGCATTCATTACCGGCCGCAACCCACCCTTTTCCAACTCTGACACAACCTTGCCAACTATGATCAATAGCATGCCATCAATTGTTTGTTTGTCAGAAGCTGGATATTCTGTGACGAGCTTCTTACGCATTATCCACACAAACCGTGACAAGAACTCGTTCATCGTCCCATCCTCATCCTCATTCTCCACCTTCAAATTAACCTTAGGGTCATAGTCCAAATTGTTTGGTTTAGTTAGGGGAGTAGAATGAAGCTGTCTAGAGAAGGGCGAAATAGAGTTTGGGCATTCATGCAATAGGAAGGTAGTGAGGCCATAGTTGTGATCAATAGAAGGGAATGTAGGAAGTGTGATGGTGGAGCTAGTTTTACAAAAATCAGATAGTGGGCTTGGATTGAGCCTAGGTAGTTTTTTGATGGCATGTCTGCAAAGTAAACTCCTCAAAACCATGTCTCAGTGATTAATCACTACTCACAAGGTGCGCTCCTGCAAAAAGAGGTGTAAGATACGGTTTGATAAGTTTAGAAAGCTAAGGACATCAGTCACATGGTCTTGACATAGGCGGACCTATACTACACCTCAATAGATCTTTGAAATATGCATAGTTGATATGATGCCCTTTTAATTTTTGTTCCAGATACTTAAACACAACTTGAGCCAAGTTATTTACACGATCAGACATATGAAGCACCGATATAGGTACGAGCATCAGATATGATACGGCATGATATGCAGATATGGCAATTTTCAAAAATTTTAGGATACTATATATATAATTAAATATTAAATATTTAAATACACATATTTTCAATATAATAAGGAGTTAAGCAATTAAATACTATTAGATGACAATGACCAACTTAAACAATTTCCTCCAATTTTATGATGAGGAGAGCTAATTAAAATTTAAAACAAACAAATAATAATTTATCTAAATTATCTAAATGACAGCCCCCTCCTTCATCACCCACAAATGAATCAAAGGCATGGTTTTATACTATAATCGTATCTCCACAGTCCACTCAAATTATCGTTCTCCATATACTATAATCGTATCTCCACAGTGTGAATCATCTAACAGACTAACACTAACAGTGTGAGCATGTGATGACGCGAAAGAAAGGGAGGACAGAGGAGGACAGACCCACTGAGGAGGAGACTAGCTGAGTGACGTGAGTTGACTGGGTGGCTGACAATATGAACAACGCAAGTTCACAGGAAGAGTGACGCTGCGATGGTGACAAAGTAGATCGACATCAGTTGACTGTCTGAGTGATGCAAGTTCACAGACCAAAGAAGGATGAAGCCACACGTAGGGGAAGGACGTCGGTGGCTGTTTCAGGGCCACTAGGTCAGATCGTTGGTGACAAAGACTGCGTGGGATTTAGGAATGAAAGTATCAAACTCGACTGAAGCAAGGAAACTGTTTTGAAAGAAAACAAAATAACAAACACTGTGTTCCGTGTCCAGATAAGTGGATACCCATACCTGCCCATATCTGACCATATAGACAAAAGAAAAAAGAAAAAAAAGAAAGGGACACGCCATGCCCATTTTGGTGTGTCAATGCTTCTGACATCACAAGTACCATAAGAAATTTCCAAATTTGATTGTAATATAAGAAGATTAATAAAAAGAATGCCAATACGCAACAAATCCAACAGTGCAAAACAAAAATATCCAAATCTTACAAGTCACTGGTAATCATAATGAAGAGGGAAGAAGTATAATAGAGACTCAGGCCTGAGTATCATATCAAGCCAAAACACAGCAAGCAGGGGCCACTAGCAGAAATTTAACTACAAGTTTTCAGACCACAGAAAGAACAATAGCTGAAATTTACTCAAATTTCACAACACATGCATCATCAACGATTAATTGAAACAAAGATTAATGTAACAGAGTTTGCAAATAAAGCTTTACAGTGAGGGGTGCTTCATATTCATAGTACAGAAGCCAGAGCCATAGAATCTCCCTCCAGGCCCAAGTGCCCATCACTTGATTTCAAAACCAATTTCAAGCAATCAAAAGTTTCCAGTGGCCAAAAAGGAAATCTAACAATTACATCTAGGACTGTAAAAAGGACTGAATGAGACTGGACTTCAACCTAACCCAAAGTCTGATCTCTTTCATGAAAAGAAATGGGTTAGGCAACCCATACTCCAGTCTAGTCTTATGATAATCCGAAAATTAACAGAATCAGATTTGGTTCATAGGATTGAGAGACTGATCCTGTTAGCCTAGTATTCATTTAGCTTCTTCTTTTTTTTTTTTTCCCTTTTTCCTTTTTCCCATAGGAGAAGCAATAATCCATTTCACAGCAAGAACTTAATCTCTACCATTTAACAGCAATACACAGAAACCATTTCTCAACTTAACCGCTGCCAATTTAATTAAATAAAAAAACAGAGTCGCTAACAATTTAATCTCTGCCATTTCACAGCAATACACACAAGAACTTTAGACTATTAAATGGGCTGGTTTGTTCTAGCTATTCAAATACAATTGCTAAATGCCACAACATGAGACAATTGTCATAAATCATTATTCATGTTCGAATTAACAGCAGAACGTGAAGGAATCAAAGGACCCACAACATGAGAGAATCTCATATAATGAACAAGAAATTAACAACATTAGCAAGTTTGCAAAAATACCTGAGAGACAGCAGACGTGAAGGAATCAAAGGACCCACAATGGGCAACTCGACTCAGCGGGGAGAGGTGACGGCGAGATCTAAATCAGGGGAGAGGCAACGACGCAGTGCAATCAGAGGCGAGAGCGACGGTGAGATGTGAATCAGAGGAGAGGTGACGGCGCCACGCGAATCAAAGGAGAGAGGCGACGGAGCAGTGCGAATCAGAGGAGAGGCGGCGCTAATGAAAGGAGAGAGGTGACGGAGTAGTGCGAATCAGAGGAGAGGCAACTAAAAGACGTCCGATCGACGGTGGTGGCGGAGGGGAGGGGCCAGGGCTTCGTTTGCTGAGGGCTGAGTAGGTGGCAGAATGGGTGTTTGCGCGAGCAAGGGAGCAATGAGCTGAGAGAGCAGAGGCACCAGGTTACTAGTCATTTAGTCTTAACTTATTATTATAATAATTAATAAATTAATTATAATTATATTAAATAAATTGATATAATCAGATTGAATCAAGTGATTCAAATATCTAGTATCTTATTCAGTCTAATTTAAAGAAATGATCTAGTCTTTCAAATCATTTTAATCCTTCAAAATCAGTGTATATATGGATAGGCTGGATCAGCTCGAGTCGGACTGAGTCAGATTGAATTGGGAGACTCTGCATAGGCTAGTCACATCCTTACGCCAAATTTTATGTGTGTCAACGAAAACCATAGCTCAAAACTCAAATGCCGTAATGAAGCTAAAATAGCACGAGAAGACAAAAAGGCAAAAGGAGAAACCATAACTCGGGGACGAGTTGCTGCGAACAAGTGTCATGAGAGAGAAAAACTGAACAAGAAGAGAGAAAAAGGAAGAAGAAATAGCTACCTGATCTGCGGAAGAGAGCAGAACGAAGTGTATTCGCGAACTCTGAAGCTTATCGACGTCCGGCGGAGCGGCGGAACTCCGAACTTCAACATCGGCTCGCTAAGCGCCGTCTAACGGTCAGTGATGCTCGAGGGTCCGGACCTTGAGAGGATTTTTTTTTTTTTTTGTTTTTGTTTTTTCGGACAAAGGACCTCAGAGAGTTTAATAAAATAAGATTGTTCCTAGATTTGTCAAAATAAATTCGTTGGCAAACAAAAACTGTAAAGTAATATAGGGATGTTCAACTTCAACTCGTTTCAATTGATCTGATATCATTCTAATATATTTCGGCCCGAAAATAATCAAGATAGGATAGGAAAGGTTCGAGACGGGACGAGATACGAGATTACCATCAGGATGTCTCGTTCCGTCCCAAATATTATATATATATATATATATTATTTTTTATTTTAAGTATAATAATTATATTAATATAATTTATATTTATATTAATTATATTAATTATAATTTCAATACTTGCAATTCTTATTTAAAATTAAAAATTTTTTATATTGATAATTTTAATAACATTGAGTAAATATGGCGATATCTTTCTTTATAATATATTAATTATATTAATATAATTTATTCTTATATTTATCTATTTAATAACTTTTATTTATAACGTATTTCTTGCTTTATTTTCAAAAGAATAATTAATTTAGTATATCTCCACCAAAGTATAAGAACAATGATTTGATGTTGTGCTTGACTTACCTATTGTTGCTACTATTATAGCTTAAAAATCACTTGTATCTGCTATTATAATGTGTAGTTGTGACTAATATAATTTAATAATTGACTTTAAATTGTTGTAATTTATGTACTTGTATTGTTTTGATTTTAAATTTAATAAATTATATGATTTAAAATTTTAATGAACGTTATTATCTAAATCTTTCTTCGATATTATTCAATTTATCAGGACTCCCAATGAGATCGAACAGGACATGAGACCAAAATTTAGTCCCAATCTTTTTTTCGAGACAAGACATGGGATGGGAGTGTCATGGTCCTGTCCCATCTCAAAAAAAAGATCAGGACTAAATTTTGCCCGTCCCATTCCGTAAACACCACTAATGTAATGTAAATTAATTGCACTATAATATTTTAATTAATGATGTTGAAAAAAACTATAATATTTTAATTATTAATTTTTTGAAAAAAATATATATAAATTTCATGAAGTAGATTTATTTATAAATAAATTTGACGAAATTTGAAAACAGCTAGATCTCTTGGAACCTGAATGTAATTTAAAATTAGGTTGCAAAAATAATAATACTTTTATTAAACATACATTACAACAATCAAATAACTAATTTACAACTATTTTATTAGCAATTTACAACTATAATTTTAATATTTTTTAACTTTAACTTCACATATCCAATAGTTAAACATTCATGTGATATTAACAAAGTTTAACATTAATTGTTTACAATTATTTTATCAGTAATTTATAACTATAACTTTAACTTTTTTCAACTGCAATTTCATATATTCAATAGTTAAACTAATCATTTTAATTATTAAATATATAAAGTTATAGTTGTAAAAAGTTAAAATTATAGTGTAACAAAGTAGTCATAAATTATTTGATTGATATAATATATGTATATTTAATAGAGACATGATTATCTTTTTATCTCAATTTTAAATTACACTTAGGCCCAAAGAAATTTAATTGTAGAATTATCAAATGGATTGCAAGCTAACCCACATAGGTTAGAGTTTTAATGAGTTGGGTTGGGCCAACCCAACCCGCACACTAGTGGACTGGTGAGCTTGCAAGCCAGCCTCCAAAATGTAACTTTATTTTTTAAAAAAAATTATTTAAAATTTATGATCAATATATTACACACACACGCAAATAAATTAAATCATTTCTCTAAATCCTATCACATAAATCTCACATAGTAAGCTTTATTTTCTTCAACAATTATCTAAATCTAAATGATCTATTGTGCATTCTTAAAAAGTTGTAGTACTTCAAAAAAATTTAGAATCCAAACCTTTTTTTTTTTTTACGTAGATGTCCTACTAAAAGTAAATTTGAATAATAGAAATATATATGAAATTGATAAAAGAAAAAGAATTAGAATTAAAAAATTTTTTGGTATCATAAAAAATTTAAATGTAATTTTGATATTATTTATATTTTCTTTTCACGGGTTAAGAATTAAATAGAAAATGAAGCCAAAATATTAAAAAAATTGCTAGATTTTTATTATTAATCATTTTCTTGCTTAAGTGTGTTATCTTTTTCATTGAGAGAAAAAATTTAAATATAAACTCATATTTTTTAATGAATTATTATTTGTGATTTTAGATAATAGATCTTATGAGACTAACAAATAATATATATTCAAAATATTTCTATAAAAATTAATAAATCATTGATTTACAAACTATAACAAAAATTTCATTTGCAAATTTGTAAAAAAAAATTATATTACTTTTCATAAAGAACATATTTGAGAATCATAAATTATAAATTTAAAAATATTTTCATTATTGTACATTTATAAAAAGATATATTGTAATTGAAAAAATAAATTAATTTTTTTAAAAAAAAATAGGCTGTCTAGCAAGCTAGCCCGTTTTAACCCGCCAATTTTGCAGGTTGGGCTAGCCCAACTTGTTTTTTCCTTTAACTCAATTTGTCAAAATTGGTTGGTTAAATAGGCTAACCTGTGGGTTCAACCCATTTTTCTGACTCTACCTAATCATGGTTTCTAAATTTTATAAAC